ACACCTCATTTTGTTCGTACATGAGTAGGGAACATTCCTCTGAAGTTTCAGCTTCCTAGCTTTTCCCGTTCCCGGGTTAACAATTTTCGCACCAAAATTTTGACATAGCCGTGCGGTCCTAAGGAGCTGAGTTTGAAAACTTTTGGTCGTGCATGAGTAAAGAACATTCAACTAAATTTTCAACTTTCTAGCGTTTCTCATTCTCGAGTCATGAATTTCCCCGCTATAATTTTCACGTGCCGTAAGTCCCGGGCAGTCCTGGGCAGCTGAAATTGAAATCTTTTTGTCACACACGGGTAGGGAACAGTATCCTAAGGTTTCAGCTCTCCAGCTTTTCTCGTTCCCGAGTCAGCAATTTTTCTGCCAAAGCTTTCACGTGCTCGTACTCAGGCTCATACGTACGTGAGGATTGATACCGCGGTCCTGGGGTGGCAACTGGTTGGGGAACACACTGGCAAAACTTCAGTTTCAAAGCTTGCGCGGCTGGCAAGTTGAAATACCCGGACGGACGAACGGACATACACACACAAGCATACATATACACACACAACACACACACACACAGACAGGGTCGTTGCAATATGCGTTTTTTCATTTAAAACATAAACATGGCGAAAAACAAGTAAAACTAAGTAAATCAGGCGGCAGTTTGCTGTAAATGAATTAGAACAACTGTAATCGCCAAAATGTTCATGTGATTAGTACTAATGACCGCCCCCGTAACGGTCATTCAATTTACCATCAAAACTGACCCGTGAGCAGCGTGTTAGCTGAGATTACCAGTCCAGGTGCACGGGGCGAAAAAGCAGTAAATTTGATGCATAATGCCAGAAGGGTGCATAGCATCAACATAATCAATGATAAAATCACTTCTTTACTGAGCAAATAGCAAGGTGATTAGCAACAGAACTGGAATATCTGAACAACTCATACACATAAACAAGCAAGGAATCACAGCGATAACGCCACCCAAAAATTGTTCAAGTTTTTTAGGATTTTTGTATACCTGCATGAAATAAAAGGAAATTTTTACATTAAGCGTAATTCTTTTGAAATAAGAAATCATTCTTTTTTCCCTTCAAATGAATGAATTATGTAACTATCAATTCAAAAAATTTATTTTACACTATTCTTTTCCTCCAACTTCAGCCTGGCAATCTTTGCAACAGCATCCT